AATTCCCCACTCCCAGGGGTGCAGGGTGGGGTTTGGGGATCCTGGAGGAGCTGCATCCCCCAAAAATGAGATCAAGGAGGTTATGGAGGGCCGGGATGCTCCAGGATGTTCCTTTTCTTCCTTTGGGTTTCTTCTGAAACTTCTCCTTCCCAGCCACTCTTCCTTCCCCCAACCCATCCCTGCCCGACCCTCGCACATCCCCTGCACCCCACAAAAACCCCCTTTCCCCTCGTGCCGATGTCCCTCTGCCCTGGAGCTGTCAGGTGGATTTGGCACTGAGCCCCCGTGGATGACGGGACCGGGGGAGGCCCCCACAGCCCCGGGTGAGGTTTTGGGGGGCTCTGGGGCAGCCCCGGGGGGGTCGCAGCAATGCCAAAGGCACGGGGTCGGCCTTGGAGGGGGCCCGGCTCAGCCAGAGTCTACTCAGGCACTTCAAATTAAATAAAAACCCAAAGCGATGATTAAAAAAAACCCAAAGCAACCCGAAACATTCATCAGATCCGTGAAACAGCCGGGAAGGGGCTGTGCCCGAGCAGCGCCACCGGTCCCAGGTTGGAGCAAGGCTCCCCCAGATGTGGGAGGGAGGCAGGGGGCACTCCAGGGGGGTTTGGGGTCCGGTGTGTCCCCCCACGTCCCCAAATTTGGGGGTCGAGGCGATGCTGATGGATCCAACTCCTCAGAGCATCCCGAGGCGTCTCAACACTGCTCCCTCCGGGTCTGGGAAATTCCCGCCGGGGGCAAAATCCCCGTTTTTGGAGCCAGTCTGACCCCCAGATSCAGAGTTTCAGGAAATCGTCCCAACCCCACGGAGGCTGGCGCTGCTCCGTGTGCCCGGCTGTCCCCAGAGCRGTTCCTGYCCCTGTTCCTGTCCCGGTCTGCTCCAAACCAGTCCCGCTCCGGGTCCCCTCCTGGGAYGGCCCCGCTGCTCCAAGGAAAAGCCAGGCCGGGAGAAACAGAAGAAAGCGGCGTCCTGTGAGTGCTGCCAGCTCCCCGCGTGTCCCGTGTCCCCGTCCCGGGCAGGGTGGCAGCCCGGGGGTGGCACAGCCTGGGGGTGGCACAGCCCGGGGCTCTCCCCGTGTCCATCCCCGCTCCGCCGTGGTTCGGGTCCGGGGGTTCGGGTGCGCAGCTCCCGGGGCGGGTCTGGGGAGTTCTGGGGGCGGGAGGGGCTCGCCGTGCTGTGCCCCCCTGGCCGGGGGTGGTGACATCGGGGGTGGGGGCTCCGGGGGTCCTGGCGCCGCTGGCTCCCGGTTATCCGGACCTGAAAAGGACGGGGAGAGGAGAGGTTGGGACAGACCCCGCCAGGTGTCCCCTCTGGGGACAAGGAGTCACGGCCGGCGGGGGACAGGGACCTGCTGGGGGGGTCTCATGGGGCCATCACTCTCCTTTCACCCCAAAAATGTCAGAGAGTGACCGGGGCAAGGTGGGGGCCAGGGCTGGTGTCCCCCCTCATGGGGACATGGGTTTGTTGGGGTTCATTCCTCTCTCTTTCTTGTTGTGTCCCTTTTCATCATTACCACCATGATTAGCATCATCATTATTATTATTGGTATTTTTATCGTTATTGTCGTTATAATGAATTATCTTATCATTGTTGTCATTAYTAATAATAATACAGTTGCTACTACTGCTATTATTACTACTGTTATTATCTTTTGCTTCAATTATTAAACCATTGTTATCCCACAGGTTTTGTTATTATTATAATTATTGTTATTGTTTTTATTAATAATAATAGTGCAGCTCCTGTTACTACTATAACTATTATTCTGTTATACTTCAATTATTAAGCCGTTGTTGTCTCACAGATGGTTCTTCTTATTATTGTTGTCATTATCAATAATAATAATAATAATAATACAGCTCCTCCTACAGCTATTATTATTACAATTACTATTACTATTATTCTTGTTATTACATAGTTTTAAATTTCAATTATTAAACCTGCAGGTTTTCCTAATTATTATTAGTTCTATAATTATCCTTAATATTATTATTAATAATAATTTTATTATTATTAATAATAAAATTATAGCTGCTACTACCACTATTACTATTATTCTTGTTATTATCTTCTTCTTAATTTCAGTTATTAAACCGTTGTTATCTCACAGGTTTCCCTTGTTGTTATTATTACTGTTGTTAATAATGATAATAACAACAACAACAACAACAACAATAATAATAACAATAATGATGCTACTATTACTGCTTCTATTGTCCTTGTAATTATCCACGGAGCTCCCCGCGCTGCTGTTAATTCAATCACGATAATTACAAAGTGCGGGATGAGCTGTAATTGCCGGGTCGTGGCCCCGCTGTCCTCCCCGGCCGGCCCTGGGGACACAAGTGGCCTCACCCTGCCCCCCCAGGGCCCCACAGCCCCGTGTTTGTCCTCTCCTGGTGACAACGGCACCCGCAGTGTCCCCTCCCTGCTGTCCCCGTGTCCTCCGTGTGCCACCCCGGGGCTTCCTTTGGGGACAGGGGTGTCCCCGTGTCCCTGAGCCCGACCTGCCACCGGGAACAGGGCCATGGAGGTGCCTCGATGGCAATTAGAGCTGCGTTAATTAACCAGCGGGTCATTAATGAGCTGCCRGGGGAGGGTGGAGGCGCTGGGGACAGGGGGAGCTGGCAGAGCAGTGACAGAGTACTGGTGTCACCCAGCACCCCAAACCTGGTCCCTGGCAGCTGGGACAGTGCCAGGGGAACACTGGGATGGGCAGAGGGTACTGGGGGGTGTCAGCATCTCCCAGAATCAGGGACAGGGACCTTCAGCACCCGCCGGGCTGTCCCCAGCCTGGTGACACAGCCCCAGCTTTGGGGTCCCCTGGGTACCTAAAATGGTTCTCATCACTTTAAACCGATCTGATTTCCCCAAATCTGGCAGCCTCCAGTGCCCATCCCACAGCCCTTGGGAAGTGCTGGGCCCACAGCCTCCCCAGCACCGCCTGGCACCCCCAGCACCCCCTGAGCCCCTGGAGGATGAGAGGGGGTCACAATGGGGTCCCCTGTTCCCACTGTCCCCTCTGCCCAGGGTGGCTTTTTCC